CAGTATGTTTATACAAAGCCCTCAATATACTGTAAAGTCCACATAAAATATAGCAGTGGCACATAAAATCCAAGGCCCATAACAGTTTACTAGCATCACACACCACCATCTACATCACCACGTGAACCTAGGATGAGGTTACACAAGGCATGTCTGATATCCTTTGCCTGTTTGGATCCAGCCCCAGTAATGACAGGTGCACTTTCTGGTTGCCTGTATTGGGCCTGCAAACCAGCAGCATTTTCAGTCCACTCCAAGAAAAAATGCTCTTCTCGTGCCTCACAGGTGTTGTGCAGTGTGCAGCACGCCACAATCATATTGGCAACACTGGGAAGGCAGCACAGTCTTTCCCGAGTCTGCCAAATGTGCACTCCATCCTCATCCTACAATCACTAAGCCTGAAACTGAACCTTCTTTTGCCTGGCCTTCTGAAGTCAGGGTACAGTTTAATGAGCCATGTCAGGAAAGGGTATAAGCAGGATCCCCTAAAATTAGTGGGCACAGACACCCTATCACTTGGAGGGACTAGTGCATGCTTGTCCAAAAAGGTAAACACCAGGTCTCCTCAGCACCCTGGCATAATGCACCTTGCCAGTACACCCCTTGCTGGTGTTCATGAATCTGCACCTGTGGTTGACCAAGGCCTGTATAACTAGGAAGTAGTGCCCTTTGTGGCTAACATTCTCTTGCTCCTTGCAAATAAACTATGGGCATATGACTACCATCAATGGCCCCAGCACAGTTTGGGAAGCCCATTCCCTCAAAGCCAGCAATTATTTCAGGAATGTTAGGGCTGTGATTAACCCAAAGCTGGTGGGTGTAATCAATCACCTCACAACTATGAATGGCATGGAGAAAATGAATAGGAAAGTGTAATTTCCATATTCACACAACACAAGAACCAGGGGTTACTCAATGAAATTAACAGGCAACATGTTTAAAACAAACATAAGGAAGTACTTCTTTATGCAACACACACCAACACCTGTGGAACTCGTTGCCCGGGGATGTTGTGATGGCCAAAAGTACAACTGGGTTAAAAAAAAAATTAAGTAAGTTCATGGAGGACAGGTCCATCAATGGTTATTAGACAAGACAGTCAGGGACACAATGCCATGCTCTGGGTGTCGCTAAATCTCCAACTGTTAGAAGCTGGGACTGGATCACTTGATAATTGCCCTGTTCTGTTCATTCCCTCTGAAGCATCTGACACCATCCACTGTCAGAAGACAGGATACTGGGCTAGATGGACCACTGGTCTGAGACAGTATGGCTATTTTTATAACCACAATCCACACAAACTGCCAACACCAAACTGGTTAGCCACAGACTTGTAGCATTGTGGAGTAGCCAGCTTCTAGATGACAATAGCTACCCATTTCTTCAATGATATGGCCTCACTCATATGCATATCCTGGAATTGGAAGGTCAGGGAAAGCTTCTCACACAGCTCCATGAAGGTCTATTTCTTCATGTAAAGGTTCTGGAGCCACTGACAGTCATTCCAGGTCTGCATGACAATGTGATTCCACCAGTCTGGGCTTGTGGCCCTGCTCCAGAAGGGAGAGTCTACATAGGGGGAATCCTCAGCTATGGTAGCAAGCATCAAGTGTGTCAAATGTGCTGCAGGTGCCATGGCTGTACCCTCCTTTAAGAACTGCTGCCACCACCCTCAAAAGGACAGACACCATCACTGAACTGTCCACTAGTCTCAATGACCTTGTGTGTGTGTCCTGCAACAACAGTGAAGCCATGAGCAGAAAAAGTTCTTCCACCATTGCTGGACCCTTGGACTGTCTCTGGATAGAATGGACAAAGCTGGGTACATGCAGACCTGGAAATGTCTTAGCTGGTGGGCTGAGAACACATGCACACAAGGCCAAAGGATGGACAGACAAGTTCTCCCACAATACCCCATGAACAGAGAGCTTTTGAGCGCTCCAGCTAGCAAGGCACAAAGAACCCTGGATGCACACCAGAGGCTCAAGATTCAAACAAAAGTCAATGCACCATAAATGTGGACAGGGCTGCAGAAATAGGAGGTGTGCACACCACTGCAATGTGAGGCACCGAAGTCACAAACCCGCATTAAAAATAATAAGATTTAAAACCAAACCAAAACAAACAGACAGAGTTTTTATTTACCTTCTCTGTGTTGAATGTTTGGGATGCACTAGGATCACATTTTCATACTTTATGCCTGAACTATAAGGGCTAGATTTTGTTTTTAGATATAGATAAAAAGAAATGGAGAATCTCATATATTCCTATCACTCCAAAGCTGGGGCTTTAAGGAACACATCAATTTTCATGGGACTTGTGACAAAATCATGAAAGTTGACAACACTGCAGTCTGCCAATGTACAACATGCTGTAAGACCGAGACCTTAGATTTTAAACGCTTCAGGGCAGGAACTGGAACATCCTCTTAGGTGCAAGTACTTCACACAACAGTATGGGGTCCTGATCCCATTGGGAACCTTTGGGCACTAATACAGTATGAGTAATAATTTCACTAATTCTCCAGTCTCTGTACAGTTATCCAAAGCAGATGAAACCTGAATATCTCATAATACTTATTTTTAAAAATAGACACCAACTTAAAAAAAAGAGACTTTGGGGAAGTTAATAAACTTGACAAGAGTTAGGGCTTGTCTACTCTTAGGCTATGTTTACGGTAGCACTTTTGTTGGTAAAACTTTTGTTGGTCAGGTATGTTAAAAAAAAACAAAAACACACACCCCAACTGACAAAAGTGCCAGTGTGAACAGCGCTGAGTCGGCGGGAGACACTCGTTGGGGGTGGTTTAATTATGCCAGTGGGAGGGCTCTCTCCTGCGGACACAGGGCAGCTACACAGGAGACCTTACAGTAGCACAGCTGCAACAGTAGAGCTGTGCCACCATAAGGTCCGTCACGTAGCATGGTTTTACAGTGCTGCAGCTCTGTAAAAGATAGTGAAGATGCTACCTATGACAATGGGAAAGGATAGCTAGATTGGTATAACTATGTTGCTCAGAGATGTAGATTTTCCACACCGCTGAGCGATGTAGTTCTACCAACTTAAGTTTGTAGCGTAGACCAGAGCATAACTAGGCAGCCTGCGTACTGCGATCAGTGCCAATCCTGTTAAGAAATATCTTACCCTTCCCTTGTGCACCCCTTTCCATCTGAACCCGTTCTCTCCCACCTCATGCTTTGGGAAAGGGACCATCTTTCTTTTCATAGGCTGTACAGGGCCAGGGACAACAGTGTCCCGGTCCACAACAAACCCCCATTCCTGTCCAAGAAGTGAGCAGCAAACCACCCCTACGCTCACCGGGGATGTGTGTGTGTGTGTGTGGGGGGGGGCTGCTGCCAAGAATCCCCCGTACATTAGGGTTACCATACGTCCAGATTTTCCCAGACGTGTCCGGATTTTTGGTCCTCAAATCCCTGTCCAGGAGGAATTTCCAAAAAGCCGAACATGTCCGGGAAAATAGGGAGGCATGGTAAGGGGACCCCAAGTGCGAGTGGCTGCAGCAAAGCCAAAACTAACAACTCCGCCGATCTGCCGGGGCACAGAGGCGGCGGCATCCTCCCCAGGCTTCAACTTTCCCGGCTCCCTCCGCTCTCCACCGCAGCGGGGGCTGAAGCAACTTCCCCAGCGCAGCAGCAGCCGGAGCCCGGGGAACAGGAGGGAGGAGGGGGAAATGCGGGGTGCTCAGGGGAGGGGGCAGAGTTGGGGCAGGAACTTTGGGGAAGAGGTTGGAATGGGGGCGGGGCAGAGTTGGGGCAGGGCCGGGGCCCCGTGGAGTGTCCTCTTTTTTCACGGTTTAAGTATGGCAACCCTACCGTACCGCCCCGTGCCCCAGGCACGCAGACTGTGGTGGGCTCAGACCCAGCTGCCCCCGTGCCCAGCGCGGAGAGGAGGGTGAGAGACAACCAGCCCCCTGCACCCGGGAGAGCAAAGCCCGTCCCAGTGCTGAGCTGTGATCCCCGGGGGCGGCCCCTTCAATCCCAGCAGGCCCCGCTCCCGGGGCGCCATCCCCTCCCCTGGGTGGGGAATCTTCTACGCAGCCCCTGCCCGTCACGGGTGAGAACGGTCCCAGGTCATAGGGCGCGAGCCGGGAGCGGGGCCAAAGATCACCGGCCGGGTCAGGGGTCACCTGGACAGGGGCCGCAGGTGGTGGCGCCGCAGCGCCTCCTCCTCGTAGTTCAGCAGCTTCAGCTTCTCCAGCAGATCCTCCATCATCGCAAACATGTGATAAGCCGCGCCCGGGCCCCGCTCCGCCGCCTCCAGCTCCTCCGCGCCGCGGCGGGCCCCGCCGGGGGCCTCCTCCGCCATCTGCCCGCAGCCTTCAACCCCCCGCCGCAGAATCAGACCCGCAGCCCAGGCGCGTCACCGGGGAAACAAACTCCACCCCCTGTCTCCACGCCCCGCCAGCGTTCCACCAATCACCTCTTCGCCACGCCAGCTACTCTGGGCCACCAATCATTTCCCCGCTGTGGCTCCTACGTTCCACCAATCAACTGCCCAGACTCTGGCCCAGGTCCCTGCTCACTCATCCAATCACCTCTTAGAGCCCCGCGCCCTCATCAGAAGCGTCTTAGAGTGTAAAGGGCTTGATTCTGTGCTACGCATTTTGTATGCGTCACTTCCGCTCGCGGACTGTAGAGGAAAACCATAGAGACTGGGCAGCATGGCTACGTTGCAGAGCCGTCACTACCCTCTCTTTCGGTGCGGGGAGAAGAGGCTTTGCGTCTTCTCCCCGCCACCCGCTGATTGGCTAAACGCAAAAAGGGGCGGAGGAGCCGTAGGAGCGTCTAAGGGGCGGAGCTGAGTGCCAGAGCCGAAAGCTGATTGGAGGATCGGCCAGAGGACCTTCCCCTCCTACTACTTCTGAACCTGCATGGGGTGGGGTAGAGACGGGGATGCTGTGAGCGTCAGAGGCGCCCACGGGGGGGAAGCCCCTGCAATTGTCCCTGTTGTCCTCGGACGCGCAGCGCTGCAGCAGGGCTGCCCCTGGGCTTCAGGGCAGAGGTGAATGTGGCTGAGATAAAGCCCGAGCTGTGCCCTGGTGACGGGGCTGGCTAGGTTTGGGGGCAGCTCGCTCTCTTGCTGTTTCTGTCGCATTGAGTTAGTGTCCCAGACCTGAATGAGAGCTGGGGATAAGCTTGAAAGCTTTGACTCGCTCCCCAGCAGAAATGGGTCCAATCAAAGATATTACCTCACCCTCCCTGTCTCTCTCGCTGGGGTATGGCAGGGTTTCGGTGTGTGAAAGCTCCACGCCTCTTGTTTTTTTGGGGATGGGCAGAAGGGTAAGTCTAGGGATTTGGGAAGAGGGATGGTTTCCACTTGCTACTGAGGATTAATCTGGCCTAAGCCTGTCATTTCCCATTGTCAGTCTCAGTTTGGCAGCACCTAGCTTTTAGAGGATGAAATTAATCTGCTGCTCCATGAAAGACACAAACCCAGCTGCATACAAGGGCACTACCAAATACCTACTGGGAAAGATTTTGCCGGTCCCCCATATCTTTCAGCTGCAGTAAATGTATGAAGCAATTGTAAGAGCAACACACCTTTCAGCCCTTATATCTTTTGGCATGGTTGAGTTCAATAGACTTTTGACCTCTAAGGAATGTTGCTTACCCATTACCCCACCCACCTTTTTCTATAGAGAGGCATAGTTCAGTTTTGACCAGCTATGTGGCAGCACTGATTTCATTTACTGTGAGTACCATTTTTGCAATTTAGACCAAATGCTTAACAAAAATACAAATATGATTAACTGCTGTTAAAGATGGGGAAATGTGAGTTGTGCTATTTTAAGAATAGATTTGTTTGGTCAGTAATTTAACTATGTTTGACTTATTAAAAGGTACTTTCAAAACTAAAATGCCATAATTATCATATTTATTCCTTTAATACATTTGTTCATGAGTTTCTTACTTAGTCTGTTGCCTGACCTCAGGCTCACAATTCTTTCTCTGTCTAAATTTCAACAACAAATCTGTTTTTTTTATTTACTGCCATTAAGTTTGACTTGCTAACAACTTTTCAAAACTAATGTGAATTCAAATCTCTGACAGTCAGTAAGAATATTTGCAGTGTGGTTGTAACTCTGTTGGTCCTATTCTTAATATATTGTCTTAATGGAGAGACAAGGTGGATGAGGTAATATCTTTTATGGGACCAGTTTCTGGTTTTTTGGTTTTCATTTCAGATGGCTAAATTTAGTATCTTCCACTGTTCTATGCAGTGTAGTTGTAGCTGTGTCTGTCACAGGATAGTAAAGGGACAAGGTGGTTGAGGTCCAATAAGAGATTACCTCACCCTCTTTGTCTCTCCATTAAGAATATACTCACAACAAAATGTTTAGAAGCTCTAACAACTTGAATAATATTACACTAGATCAAACATGGCTTGGTTCTCTAGCTCAGTCTCAGACTTGTTAAAAATCAGTGGATATATTAGCTATCTTTTATTTGTGCTAAATGGAGGGAGCAGTTAAATGCCCCTTTGTGTAGTGATAGCTGAAGGAAGAGGACACAAGCACACAGGGCAAGGTGCCACAGGGCAAGCCCAATCAGAAGCTAAGCCATGTAGATAGAAGGGTTTACCTGGGGACTGACTGGAAAAGCAGAGATTGAGGGATTGATTGGTTGCATTTTTGTGTGTTTGAGAGAGAAAGAGAGCGAGCTTTTTTGGGCACCGGACTCACTAGAGAAGCAGGCTAAGATTTCTGAGTATGGAAAACGCCTCCTGTTTAACTAGCACAGTTCAGGGCATCAGCACCTGTACTCCCCCTCTGTGGTCCAGCAAGGGCACCTGCTCAAGGCTTCTGGGTTCCCAGCTGTTGCTGCTGTTGGGTGGAGATATGAGTCTTTTTCTGACGGGTATTTCCATGCCAAACAGTTTCCTGGCTATACTGCAACCTCCCCAGCATCAGCCAGACTACCTAAGCAGGCTTACACTCTGTACATCTATGAGGAGAGAAATGAAGTAATTGCCACAGTTAAGTTACCACACAGCTCTTTATAGCAAGCACATTTATTCTCAAGGTGAAAGCATTTTAGAAAAAACATATTAAAAACAAAAGAATCTATACACATGCTTATCAGAGATCACCTCATCACTCCCGAAAGGGCTCTGGTTGGTGATTAGTCCTTCAAACGCCACATAGGGGTCTCTCCTGTGGTCATAAAATCATCACAGCTTCAACTCAGAACCAGCACATTCACTCTTGTGTGGCCTCAGTAGGCTAAAGCCATTTCAACCCTTTCCTAAGGAATGTGGCCTTCTATGGACTGGAGATCCTGCCTGTTTGCTGGATCAGGTAGAAGGCCTTGAGTTAATTTAAACTGAGGTTATTTATCCCAAAATCCTTTGTCTGTTGGTTCCTGGAGAATCCAGTTTCAACCAATATATGCAAGCCTCTCTCTAGGTGGTGGTAGGTACACATCAATCATCATGGCAAATTCCAAAGGAAAGTAGCTTCCTTTCACATTGAAAGCCAGCCAGATTGATCTCTATCTCAGTCTTTATAACAGTCTGACTGGATGTTCCGTCTTTCTGTCACTGGTGATCTTACTGCGCCACCAAAGCTTTTGCTGACCACCTGATTACTGACCATGTAGTGGCATTCCTTAGTAAACGCACTCCGTAATTTGTTGGTCTTCCATCCTAATAATATGTCCATACCAAGAAAGCCACTGAAATTGAACTACTGCTGATGGAGGGAGTTGTTGGGTTCAGCTATCAATACCCTCATTGCTGAGGTTGTTCTCCACTTAATATGAAGCAGCTGGTGAAGACAAAGAATCAAAAATGTCAGTCTGCCACTCCTCATCCTTCCTCACTGCCCACAATACAGTTGGTATAACCATGGTTCTGTAGAGCCGCAGCTTTGTAGTAATCTTGGTGGCCCAACGTCTCCATGGATGCCGCTGAAGGGCCTGACGCACATGGTTGCTGCTGTAAGAGCACCCCCATCTTTTGAACATCCTCCAGCACTGACTGTTGCTTTCCAAGTATAGTATTTGACAGTTGCTACCTGCTTGATATCATGTCTGCACAGGTTAATACTGCACTGGTAGTAATCTGGAGGCTACTTGATGGTACTAGCCAGTGACTTAGTTGTATCTGGATTCATAACCAGACCAATGTGTGCTGCGTATTGCCTGACCAGACTGGCCATTAGCTGCAGCAGTACACCAAACTGAGCCAACAAAAAATAAAAATGGAAAGAGAATGGTGAGGGGAAGAAAGTGCCCCTGACACGAGGGAAGGGGAGGCCACACAGACACTCTGCCATGGTGGAAGGTGGAAAAGAGAGAGCATAGAGAGCCCCTGAAATAGAGGGAAAGTGGGCATGCAGTTCAGTGTTCACTGTTATCCATTCTACTCTATATCATATGAATCATGGATATGAGTTCCAGGTTGTAAGGTCTAGCTGACATTTAAGTTTTGCTGCTATACTGGCAAAACCCTCTTAAGTGTAGATTATACCTCTTATACCTCCAAAAAAAGTGCTTTTGCTGGTATAGTTTAGTTTATGTTGCTTTGGCAAGCAAGATAAAATATAGTGGCAAAAGCCCTTTTATGCCAGTGTAACTGCTTCTACTAGGGCTTTTGCTGGCTTAGAAATGTAAAACACACAAAATCACACCCTTAACCAACATTGCTAGACTAGCAAAAGTTTCTAGCACAGACCTGGCTTCATTCTAGGACAGGGGTGAGCAAACTATGGCCCGGGGCTGCATCCAGCCCTCCAGAGGTTTTAATCCGGCCCTCAAGCCGGGGAGTGGAGTCCGGGGTTTGCCCTGCTCTGGCGCTCCAGCCAGGGAGTGGGGTAGGGGATTTGCCCCGCTCCACTTGGCTCCAGAAGCAGTGGCATGTCCCCCCTTCGGCTCCTACACTTAGGGGCAGCCAAGGGTTCTGCATGCTGCCCCTGCAGCACCCATTGGCCGGGAACCGTGGCCCATGAGAGCTGCAGGGGCGGCGCCTGCGGACAGGGTGGCGTGCAGATCCACCTGGCCACGCCTCTGTGTAGAAGCCAGAGTGGGGACATGCCACTGCTTCTTGGAGCTGCTTGAGGTAAGCGCCGCCAAGAGCCTGCACCCCTGAGCCCCTCCTGCACACCCACCCCCTGCCCCAGCCCTGATCCCACTCCCTCCCTCTGAAACCCTTGGTCCCAGCCCGGAGCACCCTCCTGTATCCCCAACCCCTAATCCCCAGCCAGAGCCCTCACCCCCCTGCACCCCACCCCCAATTTCCTCACGAGCAGTCATGGCCCGCCATACAATTTCCATACCCAGTTATGGCCCTCGGGCTAAAAAGTGTGCCCACCCCTGTTCTAGGATGACCAGATGTCCCAGTTTTATATGGACAGTCCTGGTATTTGGCGCCTATTACTCCCCACCCCCCGTCTTGATTTTTCACACTTGCTGTCTGGTCACCCTACCTCTTTCTGACTTTTAAACTACTTCTGCCTTTTTATTAAAGAAAAAAAAATGTAGTGTTGGCATATACTTCTTTATGAAAAAAATCAGTTCCCAGTTAAGTAAAGTGCCCCCAAGAGGAATGGCGCCAGAAGAAATAGCACAAAGAGAACATATTACAGGATCCCAGAAGATTTCTCAACTTTTGGCTACTTCTGCTGAGTTGCTACATACATGCTGGTTTCTGATAATTTCTGAAGTAACCCATATAAGGATCCACCACTGTAAACTGAAATTACTGACTTCTGGAACACACAGCAGCATCATGTTGCCCCCTTTCAGTCCTGGTTTCTGAAATACAGAGACAGCATACAAGATAAGGGGCTTCTAACATGTAAAATGCGCCCTGGATTTGGTCTATCGCAATTAGAGATGGAAAACATCTAGGGTTTGGCCTCCTTGAGCTAATGCAGGGATTTAACAATTTATAGACTGTAGTCGTATTCATTTTTGTGCTCAAAAGTCATCTGGACTAATATGCTGCTTTGGTTACCTGCAGCTTTCCAAGTTAGCTTTACTTCCTTATTGGTAGAAGTATTCTTGTAAGCACTTACATATACTTTAAATCTGCTGTTGCCAGGTTACAATCATAAAGAGAGAGTAAACGATCATCTGAAATGCCGTATGCTAAGGAATAAATAAATCCTTGTTCTGAAACCAGACACGTTTTATAGGGTCAAAATCTGCTTTTATTTTCACTGGTAAAAATAGAATTACTCCACTAGGAGTGTCACAGATAAACTATCTGTTCCATCTTGTGTTTATTGGTGGTGCTTGTAGTACCTTTCCCAGACCTGAAGAAGAGCTCCGGGTGGGTCAGAAGCTTGTCTCTCTCACCAACAGAAGTGGAGCCAATAAAATATATTCTCTCATCCACCTTCTCTCTCTAATATCCATGGACCGATCCAGTGGTGGATCCTTATACAGCGACACTGCACGAGCAACAAAATGGCAGATAAAATTCAACAGTGATAAATGCAAGTAATGCATCTTGGAAAACAACTACACATATATAATGATGAGTTTTAAATTAGCTGTTACCACTCAAGAAACAGATCTTGGGGTCATCGTGAACAGTTTTCTGAAAACTTCAGCTCAGTGCACAGCAGCAGTCAAAAAGGTTAATGGTATGTTAGGAACTATTAGGAAAGGGATAGAAAATAAGACAGAAAATATCACAATGTCACTAATCCATGGTGTCCCCACAGTTGAATACTGTGTCCAGTTCTG